TCCTGCCGAGGACATAGACGAGAAGCTAAGTATTTTTCTTTTATTATTAGATGAAATTAATTATAACGGATTTGTTGGTGGTTGTTGTTGTCAGGCTCCGAGAAGGGATTGCTGTAGAGTGGTGGGGATGGAGGAGGAAGGAGTGTTGGGTGTGGACGTGGGTGCCTGCAGAGAAGGGGAGATCAGTGAGTAATTTTTTTTTTTAATTCCATTGAATTAATTTAAGACCCTTTTGCCCCGACCCTCAAATTTTAAAACCAAACCTGACCCGCTCGAATGCCTTGATTTTCAACACCCATATATTCACTCAACTATACATTTTTTATTATTCATTTTCTGCTTCGTTTCATATCCATTTTATTAGAAAAAATTGAGGCCAACTAGCTCAACTGTTAATGCATTGGTAATCTCTAAGTTGAAAGTTTTAGATTGCTAATTAACTTGGTTTTTATTAATTGTTGCTTGATTTTAATTGCACTGTATTGTGATTCATGGGAAACAATTCAATGCAACGCAATGTTTAAGGTCTGTATTAAGATTAAGAAATATATAAATATTTATAGAGCCATCTGGTTCAAAATAAGCAAATTAATTAGGACAAATTTAAAAAAGTTGCAACTATATCACAATTTCTAACCCTGTCTAACAAAAATGATGAAAAGTTGAAAACGTCCAGCAACATATCTAAACATGATCATATCAGTGATTCCATCGATGAGACACTATTAGTGAATATAGGGAGTCTAAACATGATCACATCGTCTTGTCTATTACTAATATGTTTTGACCTTTATTACTAATATGTTATATCACTAGAATAAAAATAATATATTAATAATTATTTAACTTTCATTTTCTATGAATAAAAGTTTTAATAATAAATAAAGAATCACATCTTTTCGTGAGATAGTGTGTTGTTTTACACAACTTTAGATACATATTTTATCAAAAAACACAACTCTATTGGAAAAGACTTGATTATTAATTTGAATGACTACAAAAGTCTATAAATATGTGGTTATTTTTTATTTTGAAATACACAAGGAAAAGAGTAATCTACCCTCAAAATTTTTCTCCTCCTCTTTTTTAGGTATCGAGTCATGTATTTAAAGTGTGTATTCACATGTTAGTAATTCATCATATTCGTGTTATCTTAAACACTATAGAAAGGTAAAATAAACATAACTCAGCAATTTATGAGTTTTATCTCCACTCCAGAAGTTGTGAGTTTTATCTTCACTCCACATGTTCTACGAAAAAAAAAAACTATCTTAAGAGTATCCTACTACCATTTGGATTGGGTTACAAATTCTTATTTCCTTAATTTCGCTATGTTTTTCTACGATACTCATCATCATAATGATATGGTCTATCACTAATACAAGTTTATCGACAATAGCTTCTATCAAGTGTAAAAATAGTATATTAGTGATATACAGGATAAAAAATATAACTTACACGCGAAAGATCTAAAAGAAAAAAATACATATTTACAAATTACTTTTCTACTCATTTTGCGAGTATGACAACCAATTTTGCCACCCATCAAAATTTTTGACATTTGTCTTGTTATATTCTACCAGCATCAACCAACCTATTGACTTCCATGTATGTCCCTATTAACATATTAATATGTATCTATTAATTAAATAATTGACATCAAAATAACCATGAGAAAAAAATTAATTGACTCTTGAAAATGAAATAAAGACCAAAATCAAATGATGATGAAAACTATATATATATTATTTATTTAGTACCAAGTATACAAACAACCTACTTTTAAGGTGCTAATTAATCAATACTCAATCTCTTCCAAAGACTATCTCCTGCAATGCAACTTTGAGAGAGTAAAAAGATCCAACCGAAGTTGCCTGCACCTGGATTCTGAAGTTGCCTGCTAAAAAAACTCGCAAGAACAATTTTGAGCATCCAACCGATACTGTAATTGTGTAACAATTAAAGTACATAACTAGTTTTACTCTCAACAAAATTTTCACTTCATATGACTACCACAAACTCCAAACTCTAAGCCAAGAACTATCACCATTGAGTTCCACACGTTTACATTTTCAGGACAAACAAATGGGCCAATGCCTCTCTTTTCTCCTCCTATTTCTTCCCAGCCGATAGCATACAAATCCCAAAAAAAAATAATAAAAATAAAAATAAATACAGTAGTCCGTAACGTATTGCACCCATATCGGTATTGTACAGCTAAAACGTATCTCGGAGCTCTCATCAAAATTGGGTGTTCTTTTCTTCTCCTGTTTGGATACTACAGATGCTGCTGCAGCCTGCAGCGTGTTGAGAAAAGTTAATATGAGGAAGAAATGCTCGAGTTTTAGACTTCATTCTTCAATTCTCTCCTTTTCTTCAAACTTTTCTGAGTCTCCATAGATTCAACTCCACTATTCCACATCTGTGCACTGTTTGTTTTCGGAACATTCTAGAGATTTTGTGCCTAAAACTTGCATTGCCTTACCCCCAAAATCACCACTTAGGCAACCGAACTCTACCTCGTCATCATCACTATCGACGCTATTTGGAGTCACGCGATTCTGGTAGCTTCTCTGCCGTAGAACAAACACGTTGAAGTAGTAGCTTATCAAGTTTTTCCTTGATTTCATTGGAAACCACTTCATTGAATAGTTCCAAAAGCACTTACTCTGGGAGTTGAAACTTGACTTTGCCAACTCCTTAAATGTCTTTTCCTCCTCAGTTGTCCACTGCAGAGATATTTCCTCCCCCATATGATGAAATCTCCACTCATAGAATGCCAAACCAAGTTCAAGCTTTAATCTCAACCTCGCCTCTGCGATGTGAAATCTAAAGCACTCAACAGAACCTGGGTACCAACACCTACATGAATCCGGTCTCCCTCTGCCAATGGGATTTCTGTCGCTCACAGAATTACTGTTTTCATGTTGGAAAGTCCACGATCGTGTCCCTAGCCATTTGGAGTCGCTTTCGGAAATTTCACCAGTCCATTCAGGTACAACTGCTTGAAATGAAGAACCCACGAGAACTGGCTTCTCGACTGAATCTTCGTTCTGCTGAGTGTCTATCCTTTCAGATGGTAAGTCACCATTCATAAATGCTTGCTTATCGAGCCCCTTCCCAATTTCTGTGGTTGGACTACTGATCAAATTACTTCCTACGGTTGGGCATGAACTATTACACGAGACCAATATAGACTTGACCAAAGCATTAAATCTTTTGCTGCATCTGATCCTTTCTGTAGAGAGGTGATGATTATCAATATTATCCTCATAAATGGATGGATGCACCTTTACTTTCTTCTGCAAGTTTAAACCAAAATCTTTTTTTTCTCAAACTCAGTAGTTCATTTAATTTAGTTTAAACAAAGAATCCATTGAAATATAAGCTTCTTTCTTCGCATCTAAAAATTATGCTCTCCAACCTATGAAGCAAGCACATAGGCACTTACACTCAAAAAAAATATGACACTAGAATAGCCACGTTGACATGTTGGAAAACAAAGTTATGGATGAAAAGGTTAAGAGATAAATTTAATTATATAAACATAACTTATAATGTTTAGGTTAATAAAGGGCATACATACTCAAATAAAACAAGTGTTTGAGCATGCTTCGTCATTGAATAAAACAGGCTCACAATGTGTCCCAAATTTTCAAAAAGGAAAATAAAAGATTTATGAAAGATCCAACACAAAAATTTATAGTTACACAGTTATGGAAATATCAGGTATCTGGTGTGCGTCTAAACTGGGGTTGTTTTACTTGATAAGCTCCAAAGTTAAAAGCCAACATAGATATTTATATCTAGTAACATACATTTAGTACACATGGGAAAGCCCCATTAAGTTAGTTTCTATTCAATTTTTCACATTCTAGTTAACTGGAGAGCTTTCTTGTAACATCCCTGTAACCTTCTTAGTTGTGTTGTTATAGATTCGTGAGGAAGGTAATCAAAAAAGGAAATCATATAAGTTCTTTCTTTTATCACTTAGCTTAGAGCCGTGCGAGATGAAAGTATCATGCACGGTTTTTAATGAGAGAAAGAAGTGAGGACCCATAATCCTGAACCGATCTTACCTGGGATTGCAAATCCCAAGGCTTGTCTCCCATTTTATATATTTCCTTATATTAATGAAATGTGTTGTTTTTTGTTTCATATAAAAAAACATATATGTAAAATAATAATAATTAAAAGAGAAACCAACAGTCAAGAAAAGGTGTGAAAAGACTAGGGGAAAGAGTTTGATCATGGGCTTCCGCCAGATCACTTGTCCTAAAAACAAACATTACTCTCCATCCTCCAAAAACAAAGAGGACAAAAGCCTGAGAAAATGAACTTCCAAGGACAATGGCAATAGGAGTTCTAAAAATACATATTTAAAAAATGGGCATATGAGAAACATCAATTGGATAAGAGTAAGCCTCCTTCTTTAGAGAAGGCTTTCTTCGACTTGATCAATCTCTTCCATAACAGGATGGAGAATCAATGTATGGAAGGTGGAATTGGTTCGCTCAGCCTTCACCAACCTAAAAATTATCGACAAGATTCCTCTAGAACCTTCCAAATAGATGATTAAGACCATCCACAGGCAAATGGAAGGAGGAAAAGGAGAGAAAGGTCCCCTATCTAACAAGCCTAAATATCTAAACACAATGTTCCATGAAGGAAAATACAAACGTTAGAGGATCAGGATGTAAGACACATCCCCATCTCCAGGCGTACACTACCAATCACCACAGCAGCCCTTCATCCTAGGATCCTACCAAGGGAGTTCTAATCCATGTATGGTCATAAGTTTACAGTTTACTCAAATGAAATGTTCAAAGTGATGCTCACCATAGAGCCGTCATCTGCCATAAGAGCTTCATCCAACACTTGTCTACCTTTAACAAATATCCCCAGATACCGGAATGCCATATTGTCCGTGACCTATCTTACCAACCAACACCAGAGCAAGGATCTTATACCGAAGACAGAAGTAACTCACTCTAATGTAGGCACATGGTAAATGTAGTTTCATACATCGAAGAAAACCAAGACAACCCTCCCTGTCTCAAGGGCCCACTCCATACGTTAAAGGACAGCCTACTCCTTATTAAAAGGTTATAAACATTAGAAATAATGATAATAATAATAGTAAACTTACTTTCCATATCATCCTCCAAGACAAGCCATCTTCAACCTTACTCACATTTTCTAGGTTAATATTTTAAAAGGCTAAATGGCCTTGCCAACCTGAGTATAGCTCAACTAATTAAGACACCTCTCTCCGACCAAAAAGTCGTGAGTTCAAATCTCTACCTCCATATGTTGTATTCAGAAGAAAAATAAAATAAAATAAAGGTAAAAAATAAAATAAAAGAGGCTAAAGGTGGCCTTGAGGTTTTTCCTCTTGAAGAGGCGAGGTGTAAGCCTCAAGGTGATATGAGCCATTAGCCTCAGAAGCCTTATAAAACATTTTACGCCTAAAAGCCTTTTAAAACATCTATTCCTCTGCTACTATTAGCATTACCATCCTAAATCCACTTGACTTTGATATTTTCCAGCTAGACCTCTCACTACTATGCAGCTCCTCCAACAGTCTCTTGAGCCTTCTTCTATCCTCCTCAGAAACCTCATATGAAATTCTCCTCCTTTCGGTCCTAGCTCCAAAATTCTGTCCAAAATCCACCTCCCTAACCCTAAAATTCCCAAATGCATTTTTACTCATGCCTTAAGCTTAGTTCTAAAAGATAACATCCTTCACATAAATTTGAAATCCTCCTAGCAGCCGCAAAACTCCCGCCCACCATGAGCATAGACTACCCTACACAACATGACAATGAAGACTTTATAACTAATGAATTACAACTCCAATAACAAAGATCTAAGTTTTCTTTACTGCATCCATCATGTTATCAAGTAGGACGCAAGATGGGATGACATAGTAGGAGAAGTGTGCTGCTTTCTTTCGAGGATGGAGGCCCGAGGTTCTAATAGCAAGAGGAAACTTTTCCCACTTTATATACGAATGAAAAGGGCGCTGACTGTAATCAGGAAACATCTATCCTGAAAAAGAAAGCCAAAGATCATAATACCTGCATAGGTCAGTTTGCGCATATAATTGCAGCCCAAAGCAAGAATCCAAGTATGCATATTCATCGTCCAGGAGAAAAGGGGAAGGGGGGAGAAAGAACCGGCTGACAAGCAGAATAAATGGGTGAAATCTACCTGCAACAGACGTTTCTCATTGTTTTCTTCAACATCCTTCCTAATTAGAAGTGCATCCTTAGCCCTGACTACTTGAAGCCAGAATGTATTGTTGCTAGTATACTCTTTCCACTTGGATGGCCCCGGTATTGTACCATTTGATGGATCTGCAGGATACTTTGCAATCTGTCTCGCCCACTTCAACATTCGTAATAACGATTCTCGACAACTCTCGCAAGAGTCTGTCTTGGTTTCAACATTAACAGAAGCCAAACTTCTACAATCTTCATTAACACGGATATGTTCTATTCCGTCATCATCCTGAGGTGTCTTGCTTAGCTTTTCTTGACTTTGGGTAACACTCCCATTTAGATCAGGTTCTTTCTTGTTTACTTCAGGTAATTTTATTTTCTTCTCCACTGCAGCGGAAGCAACATTGATGTTCCCAATCTGTTTGCTAGATATGAATCCAGAACATTCATCATATAAGCTCTTTTGTTTTAGCACACCGTATAACATACCCTTGATCTTTGCCGCCAATTCCGAAGAAAAAGGAAAACTTTTCTCGCAGTGATAATCAGAGTTCCCATTTTCCAGTTTTTTACCTCCGCATCTCACCATAAGCCATTTCTCCAGCTCACTTAAGTACTTGGAATAAACCAATTTCACCGAAGCAGACAGCTCAAGATCCAACCCTAATTCCACAACCACTGAGGACCATAATTCCTTTTCTGAAACCACTTGATAACCACCTTTATCTCTGACTACCATGAACAATTCAAACAAATCCAAAGATCCCCCTTCACCAAGCAGTGCTGGCACCGGCCTAACAATCCCTCTCCGACCAATTTCCTTCAGAAAAAACGAAAGAATTTTCTCAAAGGAGCATCTAAGTGCTGCTTTGCAATCACCATAATCAACACTCGCATAACTTTCCTCTACCAAACAATCAGGGGCAATGCAACAGCCATTACTGGAATACGAAGGGTCAATATCTTTGCTGCAATCTAAAATGGAAGCATTGGATGAAATAGGCCATCTCCCCATGAACTCGAACCCACTTTAGAAATCAAACCCAATTCGCACTTCACGCTTCCCTATTGTTTTTTTCTTTTTTTCGTTCTCGTTAAACATACAAATGAAGCAAGTAGAAAATAGCACAAGATTAGGGCAAAGGAGGGAGAAAACCCAAAACTCAACGGCTCTACCTCGTTTCCGAAATCTGGGACTCCATTTTCTGCTACTCGTTGTGAAGACGCAGATTGAACTCGATGGGTGGTTTGAAAAACATGAACTTTATTACTTCAAAAATGGGAAGTGGGGGGCAACGTAACGCAAACCAAGCAGGGGAAAAACACAACGCAACGCAGGTGGTCTCCCGAGCTTGGTTTCCCTCATTAAGAATTTGCAGCGCATATACAAATACATTATAGTGCTTTGAATTTTTATAATTATTACACAACAAATTACATGTGGGTGATCATGGCTCCAGGTCTCAATTAGGATCTCTGTCTAGTGGCGGATCAAATTTAGTAGAAAATATTTACAAGTAATTTTGATGATTTATAAATAAACTAAATTATTAACTTAACAAATCCAATTATCTTTGACAAATTTTCATATTTTGAAATTACTAATGTTATTGATTTTTTTTTTTTTTTGCAAAGGCTTATTGATATGTATTAACATATACTAGTCATGTCAAAAAAAAAAAACATATACTAGTTTATTCGGTAAGAAGTATGATTAAATTTTCTATATAAATGTACAAATAAAATTATGAAATTTGAAATAATAACTTTTTTCCTCCTATCAGAATTATAATTTCTTTTTATATGATTCACTTTTTCTAAAAAAATAATTAGTAATTATTTAAAATATTTATATTTATGTTAGTTATGAACAAAAAGATTAAATTTAAAGAAAAATTAAAACAAAATTTATAATATTTTATATTTATTATTACTTCTTTTACTTAATATCAGGGCAAATTACATTTTTTTGTTATGAAATTTGAAGTAGGTGTAAGTTTAAAAAGTTGTACTTTTGGTCTTTAAGAGTTATAGAGTGGTTCTAAGTGATCCCTAAGATGCTTTGAAGTTTAAAAAGTTGTACTTTTGGTCCATAAGATTTATAAAGTGGTTCAAATGATCCGGAGGATGCTTTGATCATGATTACGTTATTGAAGGCATATTACTAATTTGGTAAAATATATTGATTTAATAAAAAAGTTTAATTGTGATTAGACTTTCCACTCTTCTCATCTCTCTTCTTCTCGTCCTCCCATTTTCTAACGAACCTTGTCGTTGCCCCCATTTATCTCCTCTTTAGTCGGTGATGCTAAAAGCCATCGTCATTGTTGAAGAGCCTCACTCTCTTACAGAGGGAGGAACGTGTTCTTAATCAAATATGGAACAAATAATGCTTCCTTGTTCGAATATGAAAGAGGAATGAGATATGGACGAGAGGAACGGAAAAAAGATGGGAACAAAAAACGAAAGGATCGGTAACAGCAACAGCAAAGTCCGTTGGAGAAAGGGAGAAAGAGAACGAGGGAAGGAGGAGAAGAGTCGAGGGGACAAAAAATCCAATCACCATAGAAAAATATTACTAAATAAATATATTTTATCATATTAGAAATCCCCCATCATTTTAACGTTAGTAACAATCAAAGCATCTTAAACACTATTTAGAACTATTTTATGGATCAAAAGTACCATTTTTACAATTTTAAAGACTAAATAGATACTTATTCCAAACAAGAAATGGAATGCCTAAATTCTCGAGGCAAGCATGTGCTCATGTCTATACTAGTACTTAAATTTTCAAATTTTGTTTCAAAATGAAATAGATATTAAACTTTAAACCACAAAAATCATATTTAAATCTCCAGTTTTTATGAATCAAATAATTATAAAATTTCCAAGGAACAACAATTGCCAACCATAATTTTTTTTTCTTTCCAAATTATCATATTTGACAATTTTTAAGTTTTTTATTATTTTTTTCAGTGCAACAAATATCCTGCAGAAATTTAAAAAATCAAATGTCTTTAGCTAAGCGGTTAGTAATTGAAGATTTAATTAAGTAAATAAATATTTTTAATTATAATTTAATGTCATTGAAATTATTTGTATTGTTTAAATGTACATAGCATGTACTTTAGTAGTATCTATATAATTATATAAATTAAAACATTAAATGTCAAATACATTGAACAAATTTTTCAACATAATGGTTTTGTTTTTCTATTTTTCTAATACTACAAGGTGAATATTCAAATCCATAATTTTTTAGATCGGAGATATATGGTGAGTTGAGTGGTGGGTGGAGATTGAAAAGTATCTCATCCTCTATCCTATTTCAGAATACGGTGAAATAAAATTTCTTCCTCCCCATCCTCGCCCCACCAAAATAAACATTCAAATCCTTATCTTATTATTATTTTAAAGATCTTGTTGCCAACACGAGCTTAACTAATTGACACATATCTCTGATCAATAGGTCATGAATTCGAATCCCCTATCTCCACTTGTACTCTAAAAAAAAGCCAATCTTATTGTGGCAAATCCCTAAGAATCTAGAATAAACTTGAATATACAATTAAAAATTTTATATAATGAATGATCTTTTGGACAATTATTATAAATATGCCAATTCCAATTCTCTAAGACTTCAAAAACATCTCAAAAAAGTCGAGAACAAAAGACTTCCCAAAGGGAGACAGTTTTTCCAAAATTTGTGAGTTGTAACATATTTGGATGATTCTCATTATTTGACAATTTTAAAGAATGCTTAATGGTAGAATAGAAATAGTTGATTTTTAAAGTATTACCATTCAAATTAAGGAAAGTTACCTTAATCGAAGCTATGGCTTAGATTAGCAAAAGCAGATAGAATTACATGGAGAGAATAAATAGATATCAAATCAATGTTAGATTGTTAGAAGTTAGAAGTCTACAGGTTATAGTTAATTTGCATAATTACTATACAAAACATACATTTACTTGCATCACTTCTAATTTCAATATCAGTGACTCACTCCCTTCGTCTCTTTACTGCACGAATGAATTCAGTCATCACCGATGCCTCGTTCAAATTTGTCTGTATCGCACAAAGACACAAACAAATATATATTTTCAAAAAGTACTTCACAATGAATAATATTTAGGTATTTCCCATGAATAGGTATCTCCTATTTAGCATTATTAAAAAAATTGACAACTAAAAGAGATGAATGCATAAAGGATGAGAGAAAATATAATAAATAGTTGTCAATTGTTTAATAGTGATAAGTAGTAAGATATCCTACTTGCTACATACTACTCATTAGTGAGTACCTAAATATTATTATTTTATAATTTGACAGACAAACAACAAAGAGAGAGACCTGTAAAGCAAAATGTCGCTGCACAACATGAAGGACTTGGTCCCTTGAAGCATTTGAAATGCTATTCACCTGGAATTTAAAATTTGAAACCATTGAATCGAGTTGATCCAATGAAGCTTGCAGGGAAAGAAAATGATTAAAGTTGAAGATTACAGTGATACCCACAAGGTTGAAGTGCCTGATATATCTCCACAAAGACTCTGTTCCTAGTTTCCCCAGTTTGACCCGCTGTACAATCCAAACATTCAAGAAAAAACTTTATCATTGGTCCAAAATCACAAACTTTACATTTGAGGAATATAAGAAGTTCGCTACTATACAAGTTTTGTCCCAAATTTTGATGGTGGTATTTGTTTAATTATGATCTTCAAGAAGTGATCAATCTCTGAACTTTTGATTTTGATTTTAACAAGTCGCTCTTGAATAACATATGATACTAAGTAATGATTCGAACAACATTATAACATGTAGTATAAGAGAGAATAGGCCAAGTAGATAAAATAAAGACGGACAAGCCAAAAGATTCATTTAAAAACCATTCAATAGATCTCTCTTGTGTCGTGTCATGTCAAATCGTCACCTATTGGTCCAATTAATATGTTAAGTCAACATTTCAATAATGATGTTAGTTTATTAGAACTAAAATTAAAAGTTTATGATGCAATTAAAACTTTTTAAGTTAAGGGATTAAACTTTTAAGCTTTTAGAATCCGGTTTAGAATCCGGTTCGACAAGAAGCTTTTGAAAATGTTCTAGACTAAACATGTAATTTAACCTAAAAGTTTAAATAGTTTTCAGATTTCTCACCAGCTTTGGCACGTGAATTGACTGAATTTCTCCATAGCTGCCCCGACCTGTTGTCAACTTTGCCGATGAAGATGGAGCCCATGGCCTTATCTGCCTCACTTTATGTTTGCTAAGCTTGTGGAAAACAATGCTGCTAGCTGCCCATGAAAGGTGACACTTATAGTAATAGTCTTCAACACAACGTTAGCTTTAAAAAAGCAATAAAAACCGAAGGGAGGCCCATGTCCATCATTTTCAAGAGAAATGTGACTTACAGAAATCATTGTCCTTCTCACCAATGTCCGAGCTACAACTCGAGTTGTCAAAATCATGATCATCATTCTCGTTTCCTGTGGGATGTTCCAGCACACTCAATGCATTCCTTTGTAGCTTCACTTCAACCCCATTTTTCAAAACCTTGCATGGAAAAAAGTCCAGCATAGCCAAACAAACTCCTTTATAATCAAGATCTAATTTTTGAAAACCTAACAATAGAACAGCAAAGCTAGTGTTATCTCTAGTTCTGGTTAGTTTGTTGGTATTTTGGCTCGTTTTTTGTATTTTTTTGGTTTTTTCTTCTGGGGGGAATTGTTTTGGCATTTTTTCTTAAGATGGTAGTTGGTTTTTGCTTTTCTCCTTTTGGAGGCTGTATCCTTGAACACTTTGCATCTTTTCATCTACAATGAAAAGTTGTTTCTTGTTAAAAAAAAAAAAAATTGTAAGCCGCAAGAAATTCCAACCAACCCTTTAAACAAAATCAAAGTCTCCAAGCCTCTGATCAAAATTCACCCAGATAAAATGACACAGCCGACGATACTAATAGTAAATATTATCAAAATGCAACACGCACAAAGATAGCAGCCAATCCCAATATATCTGAAAAACTACATTATCCATAAATTCCTTCCAGTTACAAACTTCTAAGCTTAAAGAGCTATAAGCTAAAACTAGATAGTAGCATTTCCACAATCATGGTTAATTCACTGTAATGACTTTTGGTGTAACTTTCACGACAAATTAGCAAACATGCAGACAGAAAAATGCATAATACACAGCTTAAGAGACAGAAAGAACAGAGGGAAAAGAGAGGATACAAATGTGAATACCAGCCAGTGCCAGCCTCCAAGACCAACAGCCTTCTTAACTACGCCTTGCAATCCCAATAAAACAGACTTCGTTCTGTTATTTCCAGTGACAATAACTTTAGTGTGCCTTGGAAGAACTGAAAGCTCTTCATCCCCACTCTCCTCGCGGAAAGGAGACTGTATTCTAGAAGAACAAAACTCTGGTTCCATCATTCTTTGAAAGTTATTAAGCGTCTTTCCTCCAGGTAGTAACGAAGCAAGTATAATTTAAATAGCACCTAACCAAACCAAGAAGCAAGAACAGAAGACTTCAACAATGCAGCCAAAATACCCAAAGCCCTGTGGTCCACATAGTGCAATATTTCATGCTCAACTGGAGCAATAATAACCAACAACCCCCTTTTGCTGATCAGTAGGGCATTATGGATTTTTCTTGCATCAGTGGAATCTAACTTCAGAGATGTTGATGTCATGAAGTATATTATATCTAGTAAAAGACAAAAGCTGAACAGTATCAGAAAATGGGAAAGTGATTTCTAGTGTTCTCTCTTTTTTTCTCGGGGGGAAGAGAAATTATCGTGGAGTAGTACCTGGGGTCTACACGAACAACATCAGGAAATGATAAATGCCGTTAGCGTCGGAGAAGTGCAGCCAATATCTATACTTCACGGGCATATTCTACTGATAATAAATGAAGCATGGCAAGACAGGATAAGATTGGTGCTCATTAATAGGCTCTTCTTTGAAATCTCTCGAGTAGAAATCACATGCTGACATCATATAGGCATTGCATTGATGCCCGAAAGCCAAAAATAAATTTGAAGCAAATAGACCATATAAAAACTGGAGAAATTTCTATGGATTTGCAAATATGATTGTCCAACAGCTTACATTCCCTAACCTTAGCATATGAAATCAAAAAATGAAATCATATAATTATTAAAATATTTCCAAAAGATAAGCCAAGAATGGAAACAGTTAGAAGCTCAATTGGAATATGGAACATATGTTTTTCTGACAGAAGAAGATGAAAATAATGTTTTTAATTCCTTCCGAAACCTCACCTCCATTACCTAAAATCGAATTCTTTTTTTTTTTTCAAGTCACTTATTCTCTGCGCGGAATCTAATAGAAATCTCAAATCCTGAATTTGGAAATTAAATTCCAAGACACCGAAGTCCACGGAAGAAAACATTTCTAATCAAAGTTTGCATTTGCCCCATATATGGTAAAGCAGAAATACCCGTTAATACAAATCTAATTTTGATTTTAGGGGAACAGTTAAAAAAAGGATAGAACCCAAGAAAAATAAAGTTACAGAATCGCGATCAGCGACAAAACTCATTGAAATGGATTAATCGATGCAGCAGAGACAGGCAACATTACAAAGAAAGCACTAAATGCGGGGCGATTAGATTACCTGGAGGAGGTTGAATGGAAGCGCAATGGGAGGTGGAAAAGATGAGAGAAACACAGAGAAGCAGAGATTCAGAAGGGAATAAGAGGTGGAATTTGGAGGTGGAAAAAGGGGGAAGAAGAAGAAGAAGAAGAAGAAGTGTGGAAAAGAGAGTGATCAATGGGACAAGGAAACAGAGCTCTGTTAGAGAATGAAGCATCGAAATGTGCAGAGAGAGAGAGAAGAAGGCACACACTAAATGCTTGCTAACTGCCAAGGAAGCGACCTGCCAGGCTGCCAAATGCCGTACGGCCACACTTTTTGAAACCGGTTTCACCGGGTGTAGCCGGTGGCGGCTTTGTCTGAGCCTGTGGCTCGGCTGGCTGAGCCGGAGCCAACCAATGATCCTGCTTGTCCCTGTCGTGTGTTGTGGGGGTGGGAGCAGCAGTTTACTCGTAATTGTCCGACGGTGAAAAAACACTTTTAGTTTTAGTTTTAGTTTTAGTTGTAACGTTCAACTAACAATTTAGTTTCTAAACTTTAATTTATAACGATTTAGTCTTGATATTTTTAAATTGGTAACAATTTATCCCTTAAATTTTGATATATAATAATTTTGTCTTTATAATTTAAAGTTGGTAACGATTTAGTCCAAACTTTTTTTTGTTAAGTTCCTTGTATGTATAGATTGATAAATTAAAAAGGTACTAAATATGTTTATGAATTAGAAAGATTAAATTGTTATATGATAAAATTTGATATTTAATTTTGATAAAATTTTTTACGATAGGGACTAAATTGTTACAAATTTTAAACTACAGAGACTAAATCGTTACAAATTAAAGTTCATGGACTAAATTGTTAGTTTAGAGAAGTACATTAACTAAATCATTAAAAACTGAAGTTCAGGGAGTAAATTGTTACTTTGGTGAAAGTACAACAACTAAATGTGTTTTTTAACCTTGTCTGAATCTATCTAATTTCTAATTTCTACACCACTTTTAATTAGATCCTTAATGTTTTAAAATTTTTTAATTAACTTCTTTGAAAATCTGTGATGGATAGTTTTTGTTTTTTTAATACAATAGGTACTGTGGAAGCAAGTGAGAGTAGAAAACTCTAACTCATAACCTCTACATTTGAGTTAAGTCTATGTTAGTACATATGATGGACGATAATTAAATTTTGTTAATGGACGGATTAAGTTTCATGTATAAATTAACATAAAACTGAAACATCAACTTTTTTCTTAACCAATTTTAACAATTTTGTATTGAATAATCTAATTGATGATTTTTAATACATACAAGTTGGTAAAGGTTAAGTATCAAATTAAAAATTACCTAAAATATTAATTACCTTTTGAGTTAATTTTTTTAGGAGACTATTGCATTTATATTTACAAGCAATTGAAGTATAAAAGAAACGAGCAATTTAACGAATTTAATTGGTATAGCATAATTGATATGTGCTCAGAATCGGAAATTGATCACCTATTATCTCAAATTGTTGTAAAAAAAATTATTATTTTATTTTATATATAAAAACTTATTTAAATCACCTCTGAAGGGGAAATTAGGATTTTTTACCCCTTTCAATAACCATTTTGGACTTTTGATCCCCTTTTGATTTTTAACTATTTATGACCCCTCCACCCCAGATTTCTGACCCCTCCCCTTATTTTGCTTTGTAAAATTACCAAGTTACCCTCAATTTAAAAAAAGAATCAAACTCAGCCCTCCCCTCCTTTCCATCCCTGTCTCGGTCCTTCCCCTCCCTTATTCACTATCTCGTTGTCCATCACAGTCTTCATCCCGGTCTCTCCCTCACAACCAGAAAGTTCATCTCCGTCGTTTCTTCTTCGTCTCCCTCACTTCGTCTCTATCAGAGCTTTCCCCTTTCCCTAATTGAGGTAATTTTTCTTTCGAACTCGCGATCTTATTGTGAATGATTTTCTACCTTTTTTCTCTTCGTTCTTTGCGTGGGTGTTAATGATTTCAACCTTCGGCTCTATCTGAAGTAGCCAAGGTTATTATGAAGTTTGATTTATTGTTGCTTCCATTGTTTTGTTTTAATTTTTGACTTTCAGGGTTCCATCTCGGCTTTAAGCCCGGTGGATTTAGGACCGGGATGAAACCCTGAAAGTCCATTCCAGAAGGATGGACTTTCTGGATTCCATCTCGGGCCTCATCCCGGTTCGAAATAGACCGGGATGAAGACCGAGATGGAATCCAGAAAGAAGGATGGACTTTCTAGAATCCATCTTGGGACTCATCCCGGTTCGAAATGGACCGGGACAAGGCCCGAGATAGAATCCAGAAAGTCTTTTTGGATTCCATCTCGGGCCTCGTCCCGGTCCATTTCGAACCGGGATGAGTCCCAAGATGGATTCCAGAAAGTCCATCCCAATGGACTTTCAGGGTTTCATCCCGGTCCTAAATCCACCGGGCTTAAAGCCGAGATGGAACCCTAAAAGTCAAAAATTAAAACAAAACAATGGAAGCAACAATAAATCAAACTTCATAATAATCTTGGCTACTTCAGATAGAGCCGAAGGTTGAAATCATTCACACCCACGCAAAGAACGAAGAAAAAAAAGGTAGAAAATCATTCACAATAAGATCGCGAGTTCGAAAGAAAAATTACCTCAATTAGGGAAAGGGGAAAGCTCTGATAGAGACGAAGTGAGGGAGACGAAGAARAAATGACGGAGATGAACTTTCTGGTTGTGAGGGAGAGACCGAGATGAAGACTGGGATGGACAACGAGATAGTGAATGAGGGAGGGGAAGGACCGAGACACGGAGGGAAAGGAGGGGAGGGCTGGGTTTGATTTCTTTTTTTAAATTGAGAGTAACTTGGTAATTTTACAAAGCAAAATAAGGGGAGGGGTCAGAAATCTGAGGTGGAGGAGTCATAAATAGTAAAAATCAAAAGGGGGTCAAAAGTCCAAAGTGGTTATTGAAAGGGTCAAAAATCTCAATTTCCCATGAAGTAGGGTGGGTTGATTTTTTTTTTTTTTTTAAAGACGTGAGAGTAGGGTGGTTGTTACTTATCTTAAAATTATTTTGAAAATTATAATCTTATTTTCAAGATTTCACAATTAAAATATATTATCCAACCATACCAACGGAGAAAGAAAAAGGGGAAATTACAAAGTTTATATCATTTAAACTACTTTTGTCGTTGCACGTGATTAAGCATTTTAGATCTATAAATTCAAAATATTTGAAAATAGTTAGAATAACCAAACAATTTTATTGATTGAAATCCTCAAATTTAATACAACTCGACCCATCCATTTAATACGACTAAAATTGTAATATCTTAATCAAATAAATTTAGATACCTAAATCAAGGAATTGAAAATCTAAATTATATCCTAAATTATATCCAAATCATAATTGGATATCTAATACAAATCAATACTAAATTATATCAATCATATCTCTTCTCGAGCTGGAGAATGCTGGTCATAAATGCAAATCATAACACAATCAAGATGACCATATCTCGAACTCATTTTTCTGACACGAGAAACCACCAACTTGATTTTCTAATACGAGAGACCACGAACTCGATTTTCTGGTACGAGGGACCACGAACTCGATTTTCTGGTACGAGGGACCACGAACTCGATTTTCTGGTACGAGGGACCACGAACTCGAATACGAATGAAAATCAACCGATTTAAAAAGAAAAAAAAATCCAACAAGGATCAAGTCAAGCAACATCAGCACACAAACCCATCATCGAATCACAAACAAACCAACCACCCTTCCACTTATTAATGCTAGTGGAGGAGTGGTCTACGGCAACAACAACAAGCTTCGGCCAACTTCAAATCGGCACTAGGCTCCCTAAACTCTGATACAAAACTAAAACAAGTAATATCTTAATCAAATAAATTTAGATACCTAAATCAATGAATTGGAAATCTAAATCACATTCTAAATTATATCCCAATCATAATTTGAGACAAAACTAATACTAAAATAATTCAAATTAAATCATATCATGTATTCAAATATATATATATGAAAAGAGTCCCAATATCGCATTTAATATTTATTTTGACCGTTAAAACAAAATTCCATATTGATACTTATTTAATAATGAATAATAATTAAAAATGTTGAGTTTATTAAAGTTATTTTTGCAAGATAGTTAATAAAGATGACTATTTCACTTATTAGAATAACAAAATAAAATATTATACTGCCAACTTAAACATGGTTGAACATCTATTTCCACTCAAAGGTTATAAGTTTTATAGTACTAAAAATTTGAAATAAATTAAAAATTTATACTAACATTTGTGTCATGCATAGAATACAATAAATTAATTAAAAAAAAAGTAGAATGCAGTGATAAATATTTTCAAATTAAAGGGCACAAACATTTTGGAATGCAGTGAAATAAAAAAGTTTAATGAATTTAATTGCATATCAATGATCATTAAGGTATCCTCTTTCTTTTGTCTTTTCTCCAAAATCAAACTACCTCTGTGTTTTCCACGAGCTTTCTTGTTTGCTTCTTGCCCTTGCCTTTCACTTGGCCCACCAATTAAAATTTCTTCCTCAACTAAAATTGGTGACAAAATGGAATTTATGGATTAGTGACGTTTACGTTTCCAAATTTTATTAAGAAATCTAATATTTCCAATTAATTATGGACTCATTTGTTAACGTTTATATTTTTTTTTGTCTTTCATTTCTAATTTTATGAAAAAAATCTAAAGACAACTATTTATGTTTTTGTTTCTCATTTTTGAAATATTTCTCAAAATTGTATAAAATTTTGGAAGCAATAGAATCAAATTTTTTTTTCTTTTGTTTCTGGTTTCCGTTTCCAATTTTTTCTAAAGCATAAATAAAAATATTGTTTTATCATTATTGAATGCATAGGCGTCCAAACCGTGTAATTATATTTATCTTTATTAAAAATGAGGAAACAAAAACAGTAAACTAGAATGTTATCAAATGGATCATAAAACATTCTTAAAATTGTATAGAAATTTTGGAAACAATCAAAACAAGTTTCTTGTTTCCCTTTCCAATTTTTTACGAAACATAAATATAAATATTATTTGATCATCATTCACGCGGGTGTTGGAGCCATACAATCATATTTTTCTTATGATATTCTCTTATGGAGGTTATATTCCTATTTTTTTAGACTTTGAAACTTGTTATCATCTTTGAGATTTGGAGATAGTTACTTTTATTCGTTACTGACTATCAAATACTGCTAAAACGAGCATAATTCAACAGTAATTGACATATATCTCCAACAAATAGGTTGCGAGTTCGATCCCCCACCCCATATATTGTATTAAAAAAACTATAAAATACTAAATATAGCTTAGGTGATGAATAATCTCACTTGAATAAGAATTAAGTTGCATTGTACACACACTTTATTGTCATAAATAAAGTTGTTGGACATATTTGACAAAACTTTCATCAATCCTACTTTTAATTGTTCACTTTTGCCACATTGTGAAACACGTTTTTTAGTAGAGTCACGTGAGAAACTTCTAACACATGTTGTTCTTTGCAAAAACTAAAACTATGGAGATTCTACTAAAATAATGAAGATTATTAAGGGAAAAAAAAACCATAGAGATCTTGACGCACTTCCTCAAATTTGTCTAACCTTTGGTCCAAACCACTCAAAGGAAATTTGTTTTTCTAATCTTTATTTTCTCAAAACAAATCAAGCTCCAAAACTATTATTATGTTACTAATATTTTTTACTTAACACCTAATGATGGCAAGTTGTTGAAAGCTTTTGTTTATAGATTGAATATTACTCTCACGTGTAAGGGTGTTCGCGGGTTGAGTTAGGTTGGGTTTGGGAAGTTTTCTGAACCAACCCATCAGATCAAGGAACCGATTGAACCGAACACAATAGTCAATCCAACCCAACCCAATTTAAGATTTTCAAGTTTGGTCGGGTTAGGTCACCGGGTTGAGAGAGGTAAGAGAAAGTGAGATCGAGAAAGACTGAAAGCAACGAGTTCGAGAGAGAGATAAGAATCGTGAGACACAATGGCGTGAGAGAGATCGATGAGTGAGGTGATGAAATCAGGAGAGGAAAGGAGGAGAAGAGGGAAGGTTTCACGAAGAAAGTCGATATTCATGGATATTAGAGCGCTTTCAATGGTGGATCTAAGGTTGCAACGATTTAAGGGTTATCGGTATAGTAAGTGGAGAGGGTGTGGAGGGAGACGAAGGGGGAGACATAAGGGGAGGGGGTAGGGGGAGAGGGAGAGGGAGAGGGAGGCAAGAAAGAAAACAAAGCCCTAATTATAGTAGGTATGTATGTATTTTTTTTTTTAATTGAATGAGTTTGGTTTGATTCGGGGTGAACCGACCAAAATGTTATTTAACCAACGAACTGAACCGAATTTTCGGTTTTTAAAATTTTCAACCAACCTAGGGATTGGGTTGTTTGGATCACCAGGTTTTTTGAACACCCTCACTCACGTGTCAATCCAAACTTAGCTCAACTAGTTAAAGGCACCAAAATTCGATAAGATCCGACGAGTTTGAATCCGCATCTCACATATTGTTGTATTAAATTGTATATATATACACACACTATGAGACAGTCTAGAGATAGGTACTCAATCAAGCTAGTGTTATAGCTTAGTATTATAGGTCTTTTGCACTTAACATACTTATGCGATGACACAACTCTTAAGGTACATAACCCACATGCCCTTAATTAGTACTTCCTTATCTTAAATTTAGACTACAACTTCTCTTGAGCTTCAACTTAAACTTAAACCAAGTCTATTGGATGATTAGGCTCCACGATCTAAATTGATTTATGGATAGCATCCGCCCCAAATGTCATAAACATGTATACGATTTGTTTTCGTTTTTTGTTTTCAATTTTACTAAGAGACCTAAGTTTTTTTTTTAATTATTTATGTTTATTGATTTCACTTTGGAAACATTAAAAATATGTTCTTATTTTCAATTTGTTTCATAACATATAYAATAAATATTGAATTCATGGGTGTTGGGACTGTGCAAGTGAGAGTAAGGGATTAGAACTTATAACCTCTTGGTCAGAGACAGATGTCAATTATCGTTGAACTAAGTTCTTGTTAACGATAACGTAGACTCTCTCAATACATGTGTTTGGACAAGTATTAATTAACTCAAATGTTAAGTATAGAATAATAAAATAAAACCATTTCTGAAAATTTAAAGATTAAAATAAAAATTAGAAAAGTTTAAATACTAAAATAATTGATTTTTTAAGTTTACAAATTAAAATAGATCATTTGAAAGTTATGACTAAAATCGATTAATTTATTTATTATTATTATTACAACAGAACTAGTGAGGAGATTTTTAATTTATGAAACTAAAAAAAAATAGATATTTAAATAGTGTTTATTGACATTTTTTTTTTCTTTTTGGAGAGTTTATTGACAAGGTTGAGATTGTCATTTTCGAAGAAGTTTTGGAAGATACTTCCCCAGAAGAGAGAATAGCCTCATATCATATGCAATATTATTTAAGCATATCATCTATTAACAACCATAAGAAAATTTGTAAAAATAAAAGATAAGTTTAAATATTATTTTCGTCTCAGATCTTTTGATTTTTTATTTTGATATTCATACTTTTAAAATATTTATTTTGATTATTATATTTCTCTATATTTTTAAAATATCTAATTTTGTTCCGGATAAAATGGTATTTATTTGCAAATATTTTAACATAAAATTATACTCAATAAAAATCTTTATGAATATATTTAAAAAAAAAATTTGTGAATGAAATACCATACCAAAATTATAATAAAAATGAGATAAAAATAAAAATGAACGATGAAAATAATTTACAGAGACTAACATAAATATTTCGAGAGTTCGTTTTAGAAGTAGGTAGCGGAAACGAGAAACAAAAATATATCTAAACTTAAAATGAAAATATTTTGAGGAGCTCCTCAGTGTGCTGCGTCTACCACTCGTGGAAGCAAGAAATAAAAGACCCAAAATTGTTTGGGCCTACGGCAATCTTAAGGGCATCCTCCGCTACCGCTATCTTCGAATCCTTATCCACAACCCTTCTCAAGTTTTTGTCTTCTTCCTTATCTCTTCTTCCAATTTCTATTCTCATACTCACAAACTATATCTAAATCTAATCGTCCATCTACTTCTTATTCTTCCCCTTTTTTTAATTCATTTTATACTTCCCACTACCTTGTTCTAATCATTGGAATCCATTTCGAATTAAGGCCTCCCTATTCTTTTTTTTCTGTTTTTCTCTTCCTCTCTTGAAACCCTCGAGTAATCTATGTGCTTTGACGCCCATCTATTTGATTGGATTTGAGGGTTTTTCTTTTTATTTTGTTTCATCTTTTTCTTTCTTCGATTGGGTATGGCTTTGATTTCGGTTTTGGCGGAGATTTTGGGGAGACCCAGAATTGTTGATGTACTTGGCGAGCTTATGATCTTTATTGCTCCTCTTTGGGTTGCGGTTGTTGTTGGGGTTTTGGTTGGGTGGACGTGGAAGCCGAAATGGGCTAATTTGGGAAGAGAAATGTTGGATTCTTCAGTTTCTGATGATTCTAAGCCCTCATCGACATCTTTTTCGTTGTTGGGATCTTTCCCGAGCTTCAATTCCTTGAGTTTTCCGATGCCCAGCTGCATATCTACCACCTTCGATGGAAAAGATGAGAAGGAAAGTTCCCCTCCGCCGCCAAGCTCCCATTCCGACTCCAGGTTCTTTAGTTGTTCTTACAAGCAATAGTACAGTTGATTTTTCCCCCTTTTCTAAACAGAGTAAATTTAGCTGGTGAAGTATAGTTATTGATACTTGGTGGGATGAAGTTGAAACTTTGTTCATCCATTATTAATCATTTCTAACATCTGATTCTGTTTTTCACCAGTTTGTCAGAACTTGAAGTGGACAAATTGAAACTTGTGAATGGAAATGATTTGGAGTATATATATAAGCTAGTTGAAGAGAAAGATGGAGGTCCAGCATGGATTCAAATGATGGATCGTTCTACTTCGAATATGGGTTATCAAGCATGGAGAAGAGATCCTGAGGTATCATCCCTTTGCAACACAATGATCTCAATGGAACTTTGGTGATACGATTTAAGGGATTAAAAAATTGGTTTTATCTTCATAATTTAGGTGAAAAATAATGTTGAAATTTATGTGCAGCTGTTTGCTTACCAATTAAGTTGAATTATATATACTTAAATCATAGAATTAGTGTGAAATTTATGTAAACTGAATTCCCTATTCAACTCATTTTGTTCCAAATGATCACTGCAGTCTTACTGTCTAACATTGTTTTATCAGCCTTGATTTTATCCAAGTCCTATTTCTGTTCCTTTTGCTGCCCATAACACTTAGTAACATACTGTATTATTTTGCTTTGGCGTGTGTGGTCTTACCAGACTGGTCCTCCACAATATAGAAGTAGAACAGTGTATGAAAATGCAACTCCGGAGATGGTGAGGGATTTCTTTTGGGATGATGATTTTCGGTCAAAATGGGATGACATGCTTATTTCTGCTAAAGCTTTAGCAGAATGCCCAACAACAGGAACAATGGTAGTCCATTGGGTGCGCAAGGTGAGGCAGCTGTTTTCTTTATAATTTGTTCCTTGGATTTTTTTTTTCTTTTTTTATTTCAGTGGTGATTACTGTTTTGTTTACCATTTCCTTTTTCTTTGGTGGTTCAGTTTCCTTTCTTCTGTAGTGACAGAGAATACATAATTGGGCGACGAATTTGGGAAGCAGGACGATCATATTACTGTGTCACAAAGGTATAATGAGTAGTCATCCCTAGCCTGATATCTTGTGCTTGTTCCCCTGGTTTCTTTTCAAGTTATTCTTATGTTTCTTTTCTCTTTGAATTTTACTATTTTTCTGATTAAACTGATGCCGTCTCAAATATTTGAAGTTTGGTTCTTACATTAGCCCATCTGTGTTCCACCCCCCAGGGTTATGATCTGTGTGATAACTAAAAGCATTGTTCCTTCCTTTTTATTTTTTATTTTTTTTTTGTGTGTGTGTGTGATAACAGAAAGCATTGTTCCTTTTTGATGTTGTGAAAAGTTTAGAATAAGATCACTATATTTATGACGAATGAAATTACAATCTGTCTGTTGACCCAAAAAGGGTATGTTTGTATTGATATTACAATCAGGTTTTATTCGGTCCAAGTTCATTAGTAAACCAGTAAATGTGATGCACGAGACATTTTAGTTARTCATCATTCCTCTTGACTTGCTGTCACTCCTACAAAATAAATTGTTGCGTTGCCCTCATGAACAGGTCTGTAGATATATTTGGAAAAGTAGTCCTAACTGCTGTTGTTCTGCCACAATTTTTTTCCTAATCACTATTCTGGCAATAATTCATTGGTTTGTTTCTCTTTGTTTAGAGTGTACCATGTTCCTCTGTACCCAGACGCAACAAACCCAGACGAGTTGATTTATACTATTCAAGCTGGCGTATCCGTGCAGGTAACTAAATTCTTACCTGTATTATTTAACCATCATTAGGGTTTTGGCACCGCATGCTGTCATGTTGTTCTTTCATTTCATCTAGATGAAGGTTGGTTGGGGGGTTGCAAAGTAGCTGTCCTTGGAATTGAAAGAAAATGTAATGGGGCCCTAAAATATTTCAGAATCTCTTTACCTTTCCTCTTCCATCCTTCTTTTCTAGTCAGAAGTTAGTTGCTTTTTCTTCACAGCAGCAGCCCTTTTAAGATGTGATTAAGAGTGAGTTTCCTTTCTTTTACAGTTGAATCAAGAAAGGGTGATGGACAGTTAACTGCATGCGAAGTTCTGCTGTTTCACTACGAAGATATGGGCATTCCTTGGGAAATTGCTAAGCTTGGAGTTCGGCAGGGAATGTGGGGAACTGTTAAAAAGATCGATCCCGGGCTACGAGCATACCAAAAAGAGAGAGGATTAAGATCAACCATACCACATTGCGTGTTCATGGCTCAGATCAACACCAAAGTTAATGTAGACTACTTGAGATCTCTGGAAGATAGCACTCATAATGATTCATTGGAGGATCAAAGTTCAAACTCAAATGAAAAACCAGTTGGGAAGAACATTCCCAAACTGCTTGTGGTTGGTGGAGCTATTGTTCTAGCCTGCACTATTGACCGAGGACTATTAACAAAGGCGGTCATATTTGGAATAGGCAGACGATTCGCCAAGATCGGGAGGAGATTGTGAAGTGATGCTTATAACCTGCTTATTTGCTCTACTCTTCTTGTTTATATTTTTCTTTCGTGTTCACCCCGGATTAGAAAGAGAATAGAATGTCTATACCACCCAGGTGGACGGAAGAAGATCGACTTTGTCGGGGCTTTCGCACATAGAAATTAAATGTCTTTAAGCAGCAATCAGAGTGTGTAGGATCAAAACTTTGTGCCTCATCCTTCACTGAAGATGATAATGGCAGATGTGAATCTCATTCTCAGTTGGGCAGAAATTTTTGGTATTTGTAACCACCTCACTGCTATGGTACAGCATAAATCCAACAAGCAGAGTGAAGGTATTTTGAATATATTTCGTGAGTCTATTTAGCCTTTAAACATATTTTGTGTGCTTGACTGCAAAAAGGAAGAAAAAGCATAGAATCAAAACTATGAGGGAGGAAAAAATTTAAAAATTTTGAAGTTTCTCCTCTAAAAAGGAAAATATTTTTGGAAGAAGCTATCCTAGCACTACCATAAGTATTATAAAATAAAAGGCTGGATCACAAAATTGTTTGTGTTGGGGTGTTTTTAAACCCTATAAAGTTTGAATTACATATTAATTCTCAACTCGGGGGCAGAATATACTTTTAATCTTAAAGTTTGGAATATGTATTTATTTGGTCCTTAGAGTCCCGAGTCCCGAAAGGAATGTTTTTAGTCTTTAAATCTTAACTTTAGTCAATTAACGGTCAAAGCAGTTGAGGAACATAACCATTTTGTAAATTTGCGTCCCTAAATTATTTTTTTTTCGAAATTTCAGGGATAAAATGGACACTTACTCCAAACTTCAAGGATCAAAAATGTATTTTATCCAATAATATAATTAACGTTGCTATTTAAAAGTTGATACATGACATTGATTGAATTAATGGGGTAATTTAACATAACATGAAACAAGAGACTTGCTTTTGATATGTTACAAATTTGTCTCTCTCATTTTTATTTTGAGTCTAACAAGTTTAGTTTTTAAAATGACATAAATAGTTTAATTCTGTGTCTAACATGTCATGAATTTTGAAAAAAATATTAAATAGATTTGGGAAGTATTAAATATTATTTATTTTAAAATAATTTAACCTATGATTCATAAGTATACGTCTTTAAAAAATGTCTTCGCTTAATTGGAACTTTGTGGCACAGAAATTTGACCAAAAGTTGGTCAATTCGCATTAAATTAAGTGCCCAACATGCGGGTCCCACCAGTTGGATTTTGAGGTTACATAAAGTTGCACCAAAGAATCATCCAAAATCTTGACTCCTTATTTTACTTTACTTCATGAATCTAATTACATATTCAACTCCAATGTTAATTCAATTAACAAAATAACAAAATACATCAAATTGACCTCAGAACTAATTATTCTTTCTCACTCCTAATAATCGATCTTCTTCATTAAAAAAAAAAAAAAAATCTAAATAACCTTGTTTTAGCCCTTTCAAAGTATATTCTATTTTACTTTCAAATTTTGGACCATAATATAATTTAAGAGGGAAGCTATCCAATCTGAATTTAATTCAACTGGTTAAGATACTTATCTCTAATTAAAATATCTTGATGTATTGTTGTATTAAAAAAAAAACTATAGATTACCAAATAACTGTGTTTTCAAAATAAAAAAAAATGATAAACAATGACGTTATTGTATTGGTCTATATACTTTCGGCTTTGATTTATTTTGGTCCCAGTATTTTTAAGTTTGGTTAATTTTAGTTCCTATACTTTCAAAATTTTTTGTTTTGATCTATGTATTAAAAAAATGATTCTTTTTATCCATATTTTCTAAAACGCTAACATAAATTCTACACACAATGAAAATTCTTTAATATAAAGTAGTAGTTACATAGAAAGAAATATACCGATTGTAGTGTCCGTTAAAATTGTGACAAGACATCAAAATAATCGTTTTTTAAAGTCACATGACAAAAATAAATCAAAGTCGAATATTTGAACTTTAAAATTTCAATTATTAATTAAAAGAAAACAACTTGTAGTTGTACATGAAGCAGTTGGAGAACAGAAAACCCCAATTAAATACGAGTTTGCGCGTATGAACATGAATATGAACTGGCCACTTTCCCATCGCACTAAACAAAACCAACAGTCCACAGACACCATTACTCCGTTTTCTGCTTCTGGTCTGCTCTCCAATCCGAATCCCACTCTGTTTTCTCTTCCTTTTTCTTTTACATCTTTCTTTTTGTTTCCACTCCATCCCAACCCCACACAGCTGTAGCTCTATAATCCAAATCCACCATTCAATTCAATTCCATTTAATTTAGTGCCGAAAACCCACCACCGACACTCCCCTGATCTTTTCCAATTTGTCTTCCCCAAAAAGATACATTCTCCAGTCCCTGCCAGAAACAGAGCTCCTCAATGGGCAACTGCTTATTCGGCGGTGGCTCCGGCCAGATTCAGGGGAAGATCAAAGTCATAACCGCCAACGGGGGGATCATGGAGTTGGGTTCTCCGATCACCGTCGGGTGCATCGCCGACGAGTTCCCCGGGTACGGGATATTCCGGAGCCACGATCTGTTCTGGAACCCGCTGCCCCACCAGGAGGAGCTTGTGCCCGGAAAGTCCTATTACTTGCTCCCCCGAAACAGGGGAAGCGAGAGCGAGAGCGAGAGCGAGAGGGAGAGGGAGAGGGAGAGGGAGATTATGAGGGTGCGTGAGGGGCACGTGAGATCGAACAGCGTACCGGAGGCGGCGGCGATGGCGCCTTACAGAATGTCGTTGGACTACCAGGGGATTCTGAAGCGGTCGCAGACGGAGGTGTTTTCGAGGAGCGGTGAGATTTGGAAGGTGAAATTGGTGATCAGTCCGAAACGGTTGGTGGAGATATTGGAGGAGGAAGGCCACACGCAGGAGCTGATTGAGAGCGTAAGGACTGTGGCCAAATGTGGAACCACCACCACCAGTAGCTTCTCTTCCATGCCGTTTTCCGACCACTGGAGTTTGTCCACCAATGCCACTCCCAGTTCTTCCTCCAAAAATGGCGCCTTTTTGGGCTAGATTTCATTTGATTTAACAGTACATACAAGTTCTTATCTAATAGCTTTAAATTCTATTTTAGCAGAGTACAGGGTGTATTATTATTTTTTTTAATTCTTAGTTTTCAAAATATGTATTCCTTCGACTGAAGTATCAAATATGATTCATTGTTGTTCAAAGTACGTTCATAGTGCTGTTCATAGCATTCTATGGTCCGTTTGGTCGAGATGAAATCTGAATAATTATGGTGTCAACATTTCTTSACATATCCCAAATTTATTTTTCCCATGAGAAAACTGATTTTGACCTCAACTTGATATTCTAAAACTAATAGAGACTTGTCATTATTTATATGTTTTTTTCTAGAGTGATAAATAAGGTAAAAAGAATAAAAAAAATAGTAAAAAATATGGTAGGCAAAGTCAAGTAATGGGTAGAAAGATTCAGAAGGCATCAAAGTTTAGTCAGTCTTAACTCACAAGATTCAAATAAAGTAATCATTTAACCCTCTATCCACAAAAGCTACTAGCATAGAACTAGCCACCGTGAATCCCAGTTATCAAAATTCGCAATTCCCCATTTTCAACCAAACAATAATATTGTTAAACATTATTATTATTATATGTCCAGAAAAATAATTTCCTATGGTTCGCATTCTGAAATCAATGCATCATCACCTAAAATTGCATTCTCTTTATAATTAGAATGCATGCGTTAGCTGAAAGATCATTATCTTGTTTGGATTTAATAATTATCCATTGATTCATTGTTTGCACAATTATTGTATTTTCTCCATAAGAATAACAGAATAATTGCAGGTTGAGGAAAACTGGGTAGCACTAATGTTAGCGAAATAAATGTGTGCCACAAATTCACATTAAAAAAAAAAAAGAGGAATACTTCCATTTTCGCCAATAACTCAATAGTATGCAACCCCTCAGAACAATTCCAAATTAAAGAAAGTTAACACATCCAAGTCATTCTTCAACCAACTTCACATTATGCCCTGAACTGATCATTACACAAATCAACACATACAGGTGAGAGCAACAAACTCGGAAGAAAATCACAAAATATGAACATGGCATAGACAAATCACATTGCATCACAGTGGATAACACAGGTATCTGTGGAACGGTACTGACTTTACCTATATCCAGAGGGGGGATAAGCTGGTTGCGGATAGCCCGCTGCGGGATAGCCTTGAGGCTGAGGATAACCATACTGCTGCCCATACGCAGGTTGTGGTGGATATCCGACTGCTGGAGGAACCGCTTGATCGATTCGAGACATTTGTTGAACAGGAGGAACTGCCATTACTTGCGGCCCAAACATGCCATCTCTCTTGTCCATCTCGATTTTGTGTTGAGTCTGCAAATCAACCCAGTTAGCTGCTAATGATCTAACATTTAAATTTTGATAGCTGAAGCATCCTTTCATTGCTTACCTGCATACATGCGCAGACCCTGTTGAAAGAAGAGATATTAGGATCTTGAGCACCGCGACAGAGAATAATAAGCAGGATTTGGAAGGACATACTTACGTGCAATACACCATATTAGCCAAACAAGAGAGCAGTTGAGAAGCCTCTTGGATTTCTTCACTTCCTACTATCAGTGCAATGATGGAAAATATACATGCTAATTGTTGTAGACAGAACATAAAACCCTGAATAATTTTAGAACACATAATAAGTAGAGGGCACTGGGAATTATATAAAAAAAATTGAGAAACGGCACTAATGGCACATACGATAATGCAATTGTCGCATTGTGTTGTCTGTATATTGAATTCATCTTGCAACAAAAACCGAGTTGAGGCCACTGAATTTCCAAAGCAGAGGAAAACCTTGAAGATCAAATCAACAGGTCTCAAGTTAACAATGGATGCTGAAAGCAAGAATAAATTTGGAGTATCTACAGGTCTTAAGTCACATAATATGCAGAAATAGGTGCTTTTGATCATTACTATGGCAGAATTATTCATAGTTCCTCTGAATACAATTGTCAGTCTTTTATTTTTTATTTATAAACATTTATTATATATGTAAAATATTTATAAACATTTCTAAATCTAATTAGTTTCACCAAGAGTCCTGCCTTCAAAATTCTGCAACACCATTGACGACTTGCACTTTTCTAAAATAGGTATCAGAACTCAGAAGACATAATTGTATGGCTACAGAAGTATTAGTTTTTACTCGGAAAAAAATAATAAAGTATTGGTTAGATAGATCTCTCTCTAGCATCTATCCATAAAAAAGGTTTTCACCAAGGGAGGAATCTCCCTACATATATTTCCCATCCTTCAACAGTTCAACCAAAGCAGCATACCTTTGAGTAGAGGGATATCCATATCCACCTCACAGTCTACACAAGTGACCCCCAATTCCTTTTAGACTGCACAACCACGACTGCTATTCAAACCTTAGTATATAGTGTCATTTTAAAGCTCCTACTTCCAAATCCACACTAGAACTCCCCACCTAAGCAAAGGAGGACGCCACAGGGAAGTAACCCAGAAAGAGGAACGAGAGAAAGAGAGGAAAGCTTTAGCCAATGCAACAGAAATCACCTAACCAGCCCAACTACCAAATCCTAGCTCATTACCAAGGTTACATTACAAGTTACAGTAATTTCTACACAGTAATTGATAGGAAAGGACTACACCCACACACAGCTCCAATACAAAAGGGGTAAATAGTTTTGTTTTCTTGACTTCCTAATGGAAACAAACATTGAAAATTGTAGCATTGATTAATGTATGCATTCACCATGTTCTAGAAAACCATAAGATATATTGATAAAAATACATTCAAAGGAAAGAATTAAATCAATAACTGATACTCAGTAATTAAAAACATTACAACTGAAATATTTTGTACCTCTGTGCAAAGGCAAAATTCAGGGCATTTACTTTCTCCACACCTGCCACTACAAGGCATATAGCCTGCACAGCATACATATCTGTGGAAAAAGAAAACATGAAAATGACTCAACAAAATCAATTCACTTTCTAACCTTTTAGAAAGTCACTAAAACAAAATTAGTTACCTTGACATGTCATTATATAGAGCTCTTTTACGAAGCAAATATGATACACAAGGCCCACTACAAGAAAAAAGATAAAGTGACAACATGAAACCCATGTTCTGGCTCTTAAAAATTAGCTGTGACAATCTATTGATGATAACTAATAGAAAAAATAGAAAATTAATTATTTCTAACTGATACAAATACGGAAATAAGGGATTACATCTCTGGGATGTACAAGAAAAGAGATCTTGGCACAAACTTATTTTGCATAAACTAACATATGGAACTTGGAAATTGATCTTGTTTGGCATCTAGGATATGTATAGTATTTAAAATAAATAAGTGAAAAAAAAAATAAAAGAGAGACTGATACATGCACGCAAAAGATACATGCAACGTAAAAGCATCCCGGTCATCGACCATACATGGTATGCTAGCAATGCTAAGGCATGAATAGCTCATTTTTAAAACCCCAGGCTCTTATACTTTATTCTTAAATTATGTGCACTATTTATTCACGTGATGGAACAACATCAAATTACTACAAAGGGGTGCACTTTGAGTGAGAAGCTTGAACAAAGGAGAACCAAAAGCTTTTTCTTTAAATTTTCCTTTCTTTACTAAATGGGGATCCGTTGGTTTCCTTTCTTTACCAAAAGCTTGAGCCTTGAACAAAGCAATAAGTTTTCGGAAGACCAACGGACCACCTTAAAGTGCCAGCCAAAAATCCGACACTCGACAAACCAACCAAGCTTTCAAATTCACTAGTCACATCATCATCTTTTGGTCAATGCAAACAAAGTAAACTCAATGTCAAAAATAGGAAACCACAAAATTTGGAGTAATGCAAACAAAGTAGACTTAATGCCAAAAACAGGAAGACCACAAAATTTGGAGTAATGCAAACAAAGAAGACTTAAAGTTGAAAACGGGAAGACCACAAAACTTGGTGTAATACCATTTGGGTAGAAGGTCAAACTCAACAAAACCATCAGCAACCTATTCTGTAGAAGTACCATAGACTTTAGGATTTCTATTGATTAACCATGGGGTGTTAGAATGAGCCACCACTTGAACAATAGTACGAACACCATAGACTGATGACAACTCCACCTCTGCCAATAAGAACCCTCAACAATCATCTTTAACTTCGACAATATATTCCACTAAATCCATCTTCCTAACCATTTTCTGGGCACACGATGGCACTTCCTAGCAAGGATTCAACTAATGCTAATAGGGATGATCTTTGATTGAGACCATTAAATTCAATTCGCTCAAGTATCGATTTGTAGATACTGGCCCTTCTAAACTGTATAATTAATGAGTTGCATTCTTAGGCTGGTTCATCCAATCTCATCCATCTGTATGCAGTTTATACCTAGGAGCAGAAATATCATCGCCCATGTCAACAGTCACACAAGACACGCCAGATTTACAAAATTCGATCGGTGCATTCATAACCAGCTGATGTATAGTTCAATTTTAAGAAACATGATTGACTAAGTCAACGCAAAGAAACACAAGTAAACGCCTCGACATTTCACTTGAAATCAAGATCTCGAAGAGAAAATGCAAGAAGACCCCCTCAATCAGAAAGGAGGCAAGTCAAAACCCTCGAACAAGACAGCAAGCAAATAGCACAATGGAGACAGATGACTGAACTAGGCGAACAAAGCAGATCCATGAGTAAATTCCAAGCAGAACTATAAGGATAACAAAACAATAGAAAAAAGAAAAGAAAACCCCCATCGCACTTACCACCAAAACGAAAGGCAGCAATCTGCAATCAAGCATTCACCCTCATCAGAAATTAAACAAACTCACGCGCAGATCAGCAAAAACATTCGAAACCAAAGAGTGATTGAAGAAGCGAGAACGTACAAGGAGGGTCAGCCTGGATGGTACGCATTAGGTCAGAGTGCCAGAGATTACGATAGTTCTGGCGGAGTTGCATCTTATCAAGGTTTTGCTGCTGCATAGACATGGCTGCACCACCAGGATCTTCAAAGAAGCTGAATCGGCTCTAAATTTTCCTCGAAAAATCTTGGAAGTATGAGAAGTAGGCCTGCAGAAGAAGTATATCGGAATTGGGAAAAAGAGGTTTTTAAGCGTAGAAGAGAACTTTGAACTTTGAACTTTGGAGGCGGGGGAGATGGCCCACCATCGTGCAAGCGGAATTTCCAAACCAGTTAGGTTGGTACAACTGTAATATCAAATTTAACATATTTTTTAGATAAAATATTCAAAATTAGCACCCAAATAAAACAGCAATTGGGTAATAACTGATACAAAAAATAAAATAAATAATATAAGTAAATCAAATCAAATAAAAGGAACAGAAATTCAACGCTTTAGTTTAGAGTTTAGAGCATTTAGAACAAGCATTTTTAATTGTCCATTGGGTTGAAATTTAACATTTATGTACAAATTATAATCCAGGTTGACCGTGATTATTATTTTGTTTCTTTTTTACCTGTTTAGATTTAGATTAGAAAATATATTTTATACAATTTGTACTATATAACCATTTTTTCATAAGAAATTATTTATTTTAATTTTGTATTATTCTATACCATTCAATTTAAATTTCTAAATTGACCGAGCATAATTGATTGAATTTAGAGACTTATAAAATTCGTAGGTTCGAATCTCCAACTCTTTTGTGTTAAAAAATATATATGAATCGTAAATTTGCATTTTCTTTTAAGTATGTTGACTGTTTTTTTTTTTCAATTTTTTTTCCTTTCATGTTAAGCAATTTCTGTTTTACTTCTTCTTAGCTTTCTGCACGTTTTCTTCTTTATTTTTCTGCTATTTTATTTCTGTTTTTGTTCGTCTATTTCAATCATAAAATTTTTAATTGTATTATATTTTGATCAAAATGTTTATTATATAATAGGAGTACTTGCTTGAACTTTTTTTTTAATATTGATTTTGTCCTTACCATTATTTTACTTTTAACCAATTAATCCTATGACTCGTGATGACATAAACATGTTTTGATGCATAGATTGGTTGAGGCAAGCATTGATGGAAAACTAGAATGGAATAAATTTGAAGCTTAGACATCAAAAGAAAGTTTAAACCTATGTGCAAATACTTTAGAAAATAAAATGATTCATTTAAATGTCCTATTTTAAACATTGATTCTATTTAACTAAAATTAAAGTTAATTTATAAATTTAGTCATAAACTCTTTATAAGGGTATCAATTTACTTTTACCTGGAACAATGGTCATACTTGTAACTTATGAAAATTTGACTATTTTTTAGTTTTCTTAAAACAAAAAAAAATATCTTTTCTATATTTATCCTTCTTATTTGTCACGCTAATTGCGGTAGATTTTTTTTTAATACACTAAACAATTAGATGTGAGGCTGCATTTTGCAAAACCAAACTCTGACTACCAATTAGTTAGTTCAATTTCGTCAAATTAGACCTTGAACAGATAAATGCGATAATTTCGACTAAACTTGAATTAACATTGCAATTTTTACTATTATTTCAATTTTTTTTTTGAGTTAGTTGCAGATTTGACACTAAAAGGTTTTTTTTTTTTAATTTATGAATTTTAAAATATCTATTCAACAGTCGATTATGTACATTGACCGAGCATAGTTTTGTACAAAACTAGGCTTTTACCGGAATCTATGAGTTCACAAAGATTTAGCGAAAATTGAATAAAAGATAAAAATAAGTACAAAATTGATATACATTGCCTGCAAAAATTGATTTAAGTTGTTCGTTTTAAACTAAAACTTAAAAATTAAAAAAATTAAAAAAAAAAACTAATAAAGTCGCATTCCATTAGAAATTCACAAGTTTACATAATCCTTGCAATTAAATTATAATCAGACCGGGTCGAGAAAAGGTAGAAATATCCAAGGAAGAACAAAGAAATACACCGATTGAGTAACAACACGTAATCTGTACAAAGATGATTAGCGAGAAGCTTACATTATAAGACAAGGTTGATGCTTCGTCTCCAACGAGGTGGTTCCTCGAGCACCGCGGCGTGGAGTGAAATTGAGGCCAAACATCTCTTTGAAGGCTTGCTCTGGTTCTACGTAGTTAACAAGTTTAGCAACAATGGCTGCGCTCCTTCCTATGTGATCCATATCTTTTGTATCATTCCACAAAAGATGAGCCAACTGCAACCTCCGGTGGTTAGAATTCAAACTAATGCCCCATTCTACGAGCAGGGTCTCTCTTTGTTTTTCTGAGAGCCTCTTCCGCATTTGTCTGCTCAACATCTGCCTCTCCCGGCGGAGAGCCTTCATACTGTGACATCATAGAAGGGGTTTGTGGATTTCAATAGAACATATGGAAGTTATAGATTGAAATTATAAATAGCTTACCTCAATGCTGCTGTCAAAGTTTGGCCATTTTCTACGGTTTGATTTTCCTGAGAGAATGTGTCTCTGAGGAAGGACAGCCTCCTGAACTCTACCTCCATATAGATAGAATCAGCTGGATCGCCGCCTTTAAATAGAAGGAAAAAGTAGGTTCTATGAACCAATGAGACGTTACAAACATGCCACAACTCAATGATGTCTGTTTGAAGTCTTCTGAATTCTGAAGGCCATTTTGAATCGCTTCTCATGTCATTTTGGGTTGGATCCATGCCGATATCTTCCACATTCTTCTCATCGGATTCAAGGGGATTTGGTTTAGCCCCAAGCATCTAGAATGCAAGACAAACTTGCTAAATGAAAACCCTCTAGAAAACATTCGAATAGGAAAGCTCGGAAGAAAGCAAACTGATCTGATCCTTATTCTAAGATTTCCACAAAAATATAAGCTGCAGTCAGTAGCTTTTGGTTCTATAATGGCCTGGCTTGCACCCATGACTTGTATGAGTAAAAATTTAGCATCAATATATTAGATTATTGCGAAAGATGTATAAACCAAACAAAGCACTCACCGCTGCATCAAGAAGATGATTTTCAGATTCGAGGTTGGATATCGGCTTTGTTGCGTTGAGAAGTTGATTTTCACTGTGGAGGTTGGATATCCGGTTTTGTTCTGGTTCAATAGCTGAAGTAACATCACTTTTCTCGTCTTCTGACACATCAACATTCTGTTCACCGGGCGCGCCTTTAGAAGTGCTCTTCTGGGAAGTTTGAGAACAAGTTTGTGACGAATTCTCCGTCTCAATATTGTATCGCAATGCAGCAAGTTTTATTTGGAAGCCCTCAGGTCTCCCTATGAAGTCTTTTCCAAAGCAAATTGGTGGTGTGCCCTGGATTTCCTTGATGTTCTCTATAGATATGGTTCTCATAAGACTGGCTTTACAACTTCTACTCCTAGTTAACTGTAATCCTCCAGAGGTACAGATATCTTTCTCCATCATCCATGGAGAAGGCTTCTCCGGAGATGGGACCACATAAAAGGGACTGAAGTTGTTAGACTTATTATCTTCTACTGAAGGGGATGATTCTAATTTACATTTTTTACTGTGCTCGTTATCAGCTACTTTCAATCTAGAGGTTGTTGTGTTTGCTATAGGAGACTGTGTGGTCGAATCAATGTATCTTTCTGGGCTAGAACCTGACATGGTTGAAACTAAGTATCTATCTATACTTGATTCTTCCATCTCAATACATCGAACTTCCTTGCAGAGATCCTCAGAGTTATCACAGGACAGTTCTTCTATCTCCTCCATATGTAGTTGAGTATCAACCAAAGAAGGAACCGTTGCTGCTACTCGTGGAGGGGATTTACCTTGCAGGGAATTCTTTTCAAATTCAACAAGATGCATAAAATTATCATCAGACCTACTGCTATGTCCACCAGAATCTTGAGATGCATCAAAAGATCCAGCAACATCACCCAGGATTCGAGAATCTGTCATCACTGTTGTCTCAGCTGGGTGATTCTCTAAGTCCCATGAAGACTGCACCCGTAATCTTGGGTAGTGATCATCCAATTCTGTCTGAAAGAAGATGCAAATAACTATACATCAAATACAGAAGCTTCGTTTTATGAAAGCACAATGGGAGACTATTCAAAATATAGAATATCCATACCGATGGCATTAAAGGTTTATCATCTTCAACCATTTTAAGTAGATCCTTAACCTGAGATTGAGCATAATCTCGTTCCAAGGTAAGTTCTCTTAAGGCCTTCTTTAGCTGCATGATGGAACAAATAAGGAAGAGCAAAAGAATAACTTAGATCAAGTTCCCACGGTCCTACCTCGATATATAGGACACTCCAATGCCCTCCAAGAAAGTAAAAGTTAGAGAAGCATTTCAATGGCAGCAGAAAACATATATCAATAAAAGGGTGAATAAATACAATTACAAACCTAATCATATAGTTTCAGTTTCTAATTATGCCCGTGGAAAAAGTTGGATGCCTCTGACCACAAAACACAATGTCATTTTTTATTCGACATGGTTTTGGGGAGCAAATTTTGTCTTACAGTGAAAAAGCCTGTCCCAGAAGAAATAGAATAGCAATAACCAAAAATGGACGATGCAGCAACATCAGATAGCTACAGTACCAAGTCAGTTTTTACTTAGATATATATTTTTTTGAAGAGAGCTATATGCATGTCACTGGCACCATCTAATTGATATAATTTGATCAAAGTCAAACTAGAATATGAATTAAAATTATCCACATCTGCTAAAATTGAACAAATTATAAAGTTAAAAAAGATAAAAATTTTAAAAATAAATAAAGGAAAGAAAATTACCTTTTCAATCTGGAGATCTTTTTCTCTAATTAATAAAGTAGAATCGGGAGTAACAGAAGTATGTCCGGAACTTCTTAACTCGCTTTCCAATCTAGCCAATTCTCTTTGCAACTGTTTTACTAGTGCCTTATCAGATACAACTACATTCACCTGAGCATTAGTTACAACTTCTTTAGCACAACTTGCAAAAAATAGTGTGTTTCTTGATTGCTCAACATGGATTCGTGCAGGGCTCATTGTACAGATGATTGCGGTTCTAGCATTGCCTCCCAAGGAAGATTGCAATATACGAGTTAACTTCGAATCCCTGAAAGGAATATGTCCATTTCTTCCCTTACTGCATCCAACAAGGAATTATACATGTCAGTAAGAACCAAAATATAAGAGGAAAATGTAATTAGGAGCTTGTATAAAAGACTAGGTTAAAATACTACTTTTGTTACTTAACTTGGCTACCTATTCTCTTTTCAAATCTTTACCATTTTAGAGGTCCAACCTTATACTATAAAAAATCTTTAAAGAGTCCCTACCATTAGTTTTCAATTAACTCAGTGAACCTTCATCTGATTTGGGAATAAGAAATACTCAATGTGTGCCATCCCATGGATAAATTTTCCAAGTGGAATGATTCTTCAAGGTAAATCACTCATCTGAATTGGCTAAGACGGAGGCAATTAAGTTGTGCATGGCCAGGGACAAAATGGTGACCTTTGCATAAATGGGAGGAGTTAAATAATGCAAAGGTACTAATCCAATTGAGGGACAAGATCCAAAGGAAGCATCCTGGGATCCCTATGACCTAATGCGCCAATATTTTCCTTCTTTCCAGTTTCCACCCTGAGCCAAGGTGAAGCTTGGGGCAAGGCAATTTGGATAGAGTTGGGAAGCAGTTTAGTAAAATTTCCATATTCTAGAACAAAGTGGTGTTTTAATGTGCACTTCCTATTAGTTAAGCTAGACTTGGGTATCTTTCGAAAAGGTAGGATAGGTGGTCCCCCTGAAATAGTTAGTTCTGTCAAAATATAGTTAGTGATGTAAGGATGAGGGCGGGGGAGTGTTCGGACCTGTCTGTATAGTTTGAGTTTTTGTACATTCTTTCTTATTTAGGCAATAGAACAGTACAATCCTCTCTATAGGATGAGGGAGGGGCAGTGTTCAGACCTGTCGAATAGTTTGAGTTTTGTACATTCTTTCTTATTTAGGCAAGAGAACAGTACACTCCTTTCTGTCTCAATTACCATATCATCTGTAACCCTTCAAAAATTTGACCATAAATTTGCAGTGACAAAGGAAACAAGAAGAAAGGTTGAGTTTAAACTCTGAGAAATTAAGAAACTATGGTAAATGACAAGTTGCTGTCTCCTCTAAGGTCAAGGGACCAAACAGTTCTAATTTCTTCACTCTATAGAAAATTCAGAAATATTTGGACGGACCAATAGAAATGACATTATAAACAAATCAATTATCACATGCACATTAAACCGCAGCGAATAAAGAAAATTATATGCTTAACACAAAAGTAGAAAGAGGCAAATAGCACAAAGTACCTGAGCTTACGAATAACAGTCCCAAGAGTAAGCAAACTACGATTTATGTGACAACCTTCTTTGAGACGTGTACCAGCTGATAACGACTGAGATGCACGTTCACTTCCAGCAAGATCAACAAAATTCTGCATCGAAGAATTATTTCATTTTGTTGATCTATTCACCAATTAAATCAAATCTATCCCAAAATCAAGTGTTTATACCACAGTAGCTGTGAGAGAACTTGACTTGTCGTTGCCTAAAAATTCACGAGCTGAGCTCTCAATTGTCTGAAATGAAGGAATACTCAACGGTATTTCTAAAGTAAATATCAGAATTGACTACAGCAAAGACAACAATATCAATACCAATCTAAGAATCTGATGAGATCTGGAGCTTGCTTCATTCAAAGATGTCTCCCCAATCTGCCTCTGAGCTGCAAAAATATATCAATAACATCATGTAACCAAACAAAACTCGATCCTGTAAAGGCAAGAAGATTTGATACTCTCAATACCTTCGCAAATAGATAAAAGTTGTTTAAAATGATTCCAGTTCGTCAGAGTTTCCTCTGTGAGTTTCTCAACCGTGGTTCCCCTCTATCAAAATAACTTAAAAATCAAAGATCATGAAATGGACATACTAAGAGAGAAGGGTGAGAAAAGTCGGAAATGATTATTCACCTCTGGATCGTCCAGGAGTCTGAGAGGAGTACTATCTATGCCAAGGAGGTCCCTCACAGATTCATTATATATCTCTATGGCAGAAAACTTCAAAAGAAATTCTCTCTCCGGGTGCTTAACAAAAAGTAGAAGAATAGTAAAATTAGTCCAGAAAAAAGGAAAAAATTTATGCCGAACCATTTATTGACACTATTTATCCTTACCTTTTCTATGTAATCATATATATCTGCTATAGTAAACTCGGTAATTCCACTCATGGTGTACGTTTTCCCGCTACTTGTTTGTCCATAAGCAAAAATAGTTGCTGTACGGAAAAATCCAGTGGAAAAGAAAATGAATATGAAGTTCACGTTATATAATCGAATACAAAGAGGAAAAAGTGGTTCAGGTTCGTCCATACAGTTAACTCCACTGACAACAGAAAGAGCAACTTCCTTGGCGCCCTCCTCGTAGACCTTCCTTGTTGTGCAATCGCTACCAAATACCCTGTCTATAGCCAGCCGTTCATAGAAGCAAATGGCGGCGAGAGAGCAAAGAACAGACAAAAATAGATATTCAGGATCACAGC